ATGACGACCTAACAAGGAGGGCCAGATGGTGGAAGGGGGCCAGAAGCAGGCAGCTCAGTGCTGCTGCCAGAAAGGCAGAGGAGAGAGGGAGGGCCTTATGATCAGGAGAGAGATCCATACCCCAGCTCTCTGAGCCTCAGTTTCCATGGAGATGATTCCTTGTGATCAGATTTCTTTCCGTTTGCATATTCATGAAGGGCTGGGCCCAGCATTAAGCACTCTGTGCTGATATCTCATCTCATTCTCAGAACACTCTGAGGTAGTCCTACTGTGTCATTTTACAGCAATCAAAGCACCCCCCCGCCCCAAGCACACACAAAACTCCAACAACAAATGTTATTTAAAAAAAAAAAAAAAAAAATGGAGATATTATCACCGTTTCTCTCTCAGTATTGCTGAGGGGACTAAATGCTCTCAGGAGCATGACCAGCCTGGTGTACAGGCCTGGGTTTTTCCAGAGGTTTTGTCAATTGCTCTCCCAATGGAATTCCAGAATGAAAAAGTCAAGAGAGAGACCACACACTCAGTGTCCTTCCCTTTACCCTCTTAAGGGGTGAGGTAGGGTCATGGTGTGGGCAGCACCCAGAAGAGCAGCTCTGCCAAGGCCAGGCCTGGCCCATTTCACTCCTTTATTCCTTTGTCTACTATGTGAAAAAGACCCAGATCCTGCCCTCAAGGAGATCACAGGCTAGTAGGCAGTTCATCATAAAATACCCACTTATTAAATGCTTAAAAGGTTCAAACACGGGGGAAGCAGGGGACGCTTCTCTGAGGAGCTGATGTTTAAGTGGAAACTGAAGGAAGAAGAGTAGTTGGCTGTGGGAAGAGGCTGGGGAGCGCACCCCTGGCCAAGCGGAGAGCTCTGAAGAGGGAGAAGACACATGGCACCACAGCTGAGACACAGGAACTAAGTGGGAAGTGGCAAACCGTGAGGTTAGAGGGGCTGGGCCCTAGGCTTTAGGCCTCATCAAGGACATTGTTCTTCATCCCTGGAGAAATGAACACTCACTGAAGGGTTTGGGGTTTCTTTTTTAGATTTAATTTGTAAGAAATTTAACAACTCTGTAACCAGTTTAAGTGTACAGTTCAGTAGTATTAAGTATATTCACGTTGTTCTGCTATCACCACCACCACCTATCTTCAAAATGCTTCCTCTTACAAAACTGAAACTCTGTACCCATTAAACAATAATTCCCTATTCTCCCCTCTTCCAATCCCTGGCAACCACTATTTTACTTTCTGTCTCTATGAGTCTGACTATTCTAGGTACTTCATATACGTATTACCATATAGAATTGGTCTTGTGATTGGCTTATTTTGCTTAGCACAATGTCCTCAAGGTTTATCCATGCTGAAGCATTTGTTAGCATTTCATTCCTTTTTAAAGCTGAGTAATATTCCATTGTCTGTATATACCACATTTTGTTTATCCGTTCATCTGTCCTAGGTATTCATGGGCACTTACACTGCTTCCACCTTTTGGCTACTATGAAAAACGCTTCTATGAACGTGGGTGCACAATTATCTCTTTGAGACCCTGCTTTCAGTTCTACTGGGTATATGTCTAGAAGTGAAATTGCTGGGTCATATGGTAATTAATTTTCTGAGAAACCACCACACCATTTTTCATAGTTGCTGTACCATTTTACATTTTCACCAACAGTGTACAAGGGTTCCAATTTCTCCACATCCTTACTAATTGTTATTTTGTTTTTTTGATAGTAGCCTTCGTAACATGTGTGAGGTGGTATCACTGAGGGATTTCAAGCAAGACTTTTAATCATAACCTGATCTGTGTTTTAGAAACGCTGGTCCAACTGCTGTGTGGGAAACTGACTGGAGGGTGATGACCAGGAGTGGAAGTTGTGATCTCCTCACATAGAGGATGCATGAAAGAAGGATGGAGACAAAGAGGGGTGGCCAGAATGATGAGGGCAGGTTGTCTGAAGTCTGAGAGAAGTGGAGCGGGTTAAAGATGGTTATCGCTGATTAGATGCAATTAAATCCAACAGGGTTTCTAGGCAGTTCTCACAACTGAATTTATAGTGATGCCAGGCTTCCTCCAAAACCCTGAAGAGGTCAATGAGGATGGGGATAAAGTCCCCAAAATGGAATAAAGTGGAAACAAATGGGCCCAACTATCTATCAAACAGATAATTTCATTATACTGATGGACCAACAAGCATTAAATCTAAGTACATTTTGAACACAAAACTCTGACGATATACATGCTCAGTGGGACACAGTCAAAGGACAAAAAGAACTGGAAAGAAATTGTATTTGTGACTTTACTTAGTAGATCTGTTCTTGGTTGGCACTGATGTAACAGTTCAAAAACTATCTGTGTGTATTTTAGAATCAAACAAATGAGTATTTTGAGGCTGTTGGGCATCAGGGTTCTCAACACAGAAGGGAGTTACAAGTACAGAATAAGAGAATACAAATCCTGCAGTGTTAGATTAAAAATAAAAGTATCAGTTTGAAATGTTAAGGAAAAAAAAAAAAAACTCCAGGAAAGTTTCCTAGCTCTGTTCTCTGAAAAAGCCTGAAAGCAATGACATCCTTCATATTAATGAGCACACTCAGGGCCCAGATTTTGGAAACTATTACCCACCAACAGAAATCATGTTTCCTTAGAAAAATACCTGGTTTCAAGGCAGGGGCAAGTAAAGTACAAGGTGAGGGCAGAACACCTTATTGTGCCCGGAAGTGTGAAAACGCTCTGACATGGTGACATGTCAAAAAGACAGGTGAGGTAGCTTGAGGGAATTCCTACTGGTCAACTCTGGAACAAGTTGAGCATTCAAATGACAGAAATGGAATATAACTTTGAATAAAAAATAACCCAGGAGTCTATTTTGATATTTTAAAAATTAAAAATAGGGACTTCCCCGGTGGCACAGTGGTTAAGAATCCACCTGCCAACGCAAGTGACGTGGGTTCGAGCTTGGTCCGGGAAGATCCCACATGCTGCGGAGCAGCTAAGCCCATGCGCCACAACTACAGAGAAGCCCACGTGCCTAGAGCCTGTGCTCTGCAACAACAGAAGCCACCACAATGAGAAGCCTGCGCACCGCAATGAAGAGTAGTCCCTGCTCGCCTCAACTAGAGAAAGCTCATGTGCAGCAATGAAGACCCAACGCAGCCAAAAATAAATTTAAAAAAATTTTTAATTAAAAATAAGGGGGACAGAGAACAGAAAGCTTTTAATTAAAAAATCTAACTAATAAATGTAGAAAGAATTATAAACATAGAAAATTACTGTTTTATAATCATCACAGTAATAGTTAATTCATACAAGAATCATCAACAGATGCTAAAACCACTGGGTAAAAGACTGCTGGGAGGCAGAAAATTCAGTCTGTTAATATAATACCACAGATCACTTATTAAACACAAAGGAAAATAGATGCCTTTACTGGAGAGAAAGGTGGCAGGACACTGTCATAACCATATGATCAAACTGAACAAAATCAACAGTAAGATAGATGTCACGTGCCTGATGTAAAACACTTAGGAGAACACAGCTTCCCTTACATAGTGTTCTTGTTGAAAATGTTCAACCTGAATCAAATGATGATGAAACAATCTGAATGTTCTACACAACAACTGACCTCAAGTCTTCAAAAATACCAATGCTAAGAACAACAAAAGTCTAGGAAACTGTTCTAGATGAAAGGTAATTGAAAAGATGTGAAAATAAATGCAATGTGTGATATTTGGTTGGATAAGAAAAAAAAATACCTCAAACCTAAAACCAAAAGACTAGCTAAAAAGGACACTGCTGGGATGACTACAGAAATCTGAACATGGACTGTGTATTAAATGACATTAATGCATCAATCCTACATTTCCTGATTGTGGTAACAGGAGGATGTCTGTGTAAGAACAAGGAGATACATGATGAAATATTTAGGGGTTAAGGTTTATAAAGTCTGGAAATAATTCTCAGATGGTTCAAGAACAAAAAAGCATATAGAAAAACTAAGCAAAAGTGGCAAAATGTTAAAAATTGGTGAACCTAGGTGATGGGTATATGGGTGTTCATTGTAATATTTTTGCAAACCCTCTTTTCTGTGGGGTTGCAAATTTCAAAATAAAAAGTCAAGACAAGTCAGACTCGAAGAAAATACTTGCAAAACACATATATGATTAATGACTGTTACCCAAAATATACAAAGAACTCCTAAAACTCAACCATAAGAAAACTCGATTAAAAAATGGGCCAAACACCTGGACACCTCACCAAAGAAGATACACAGATGGCAAATAAGCATATGAAAAGATGCTCAACATCATATGTCATCAGGGAACTGCAAATTAAAACAAAAATGAGATACCACTACACACCTATTAGAATGGCCAAAATCTGAAACACTGACAAGGATGTGGAGCAACAGGGAACTCTCATTCACTGCCGGTGGCAATGCAAAATGGTACAGCCACTTTGGAAGACAGTTTGACAGTTTCTTACAAAAGTAAACACATTCCAACACCACCAAGAATGGAATCTGGGTGATAATGTGTGCCAGCGTAGGTTCATCAACTATAACAAATGCACTACTCTGGGCAGGACTGTGAGAGTGCGGGGCAGGGGGGAGGTTCAAGGAAACTCTCTGCACTTACCACTCAATTTTGCTGTGAACCTAAAACTGCTGTAAAAAATGAAGTCTATTTTAAAAATTGGGGGATGGAGTGTACCAGATTAGGTACACTTTTTCCTCCTAGGAACTCACTCCGACTGACTCCACTGGCTAGGCCCCATCTCTACCCTGTAGACTTGTGGACTCTTGATTGCATCATTTTATTTCAAGTGGCATTTCCCACGTGAATCTTCTCTTCAAATAAACAGAAAAGAGAAATGAGAAGTGACTGTGCCCAAGAGAGAAAGATCCTTCTGTTAACCCTCCTCCATTCTCTGACACCTCAAGTCCATTCCTTATATCTGGCCACTGGTTCTCTCTTCTTTTTCCCAGGGAAAGGCCAACCCTTAGAAATACCTGTGGAAGTCAACCAGGTGTTCTGAATCGATATAATCATTCAAGTTCAGGGTCAAGTCTGACACTTGCTGTGAGCCATGTTCCTAGAAAAATGAAAACAGAAAATGAGAGACTGGGGTATTTCTGGTCTAATGAGTAAGTGGCGGGGCGGTGGGGGGAGAGGAACAATTTAATATTCAACCTAAAGAAATACAAAGAGACATATATAAGGACTGTTTGTAACAGATGAAGTACATTTCTCATGCTTGGGGACTTCTCTGATCTATAGGAATAATGTCTTTCTGAGGCAGAGCCCAGAAAAACCTACTTCCCAGGCTCTTTTGCAGCTTGGACACAGGCATGTAACTGAGGTGCCAAATGGATGCACAACTTCAACTTGGAGGTGAGCACCATGGATAAACAGGCTGAGTAAGGGGCAGACGCCTTGCTATCAAGGGTAGCAGCAGAGGCAGCAGGGATCACAACATCAGTGGCTCCTGAGAAGGGGCACCTGGTTTGGCAGTCAGCCAGTACCTAATGCCCTGGGGTAGTGGCAGCAGCAGTGGTTTCCATGGCATGGTTTGGAGCAATGCCCTGAAAGCCCAGCCTTGAAACTGTTTCTCCAGCCCTCCCAACAATTCAGTGAGTTATCCCAGTTCTTTTAATAAACCTGACTGTTTAAACAAATCTGAGGGGATTCTGTCGTTTATAACTAAGAACCCTGTGTGATACAAAATCTAAACGTTCATCAAAAGGGAGACAGATAAACAAATTATGGCATTATGGAATACTACATAGTGGCTAAAATGAATAAGGTATAGCTATATGCATTCCCATGTAAAGACCTCCAAAACATATTGAGGGGAAAAAAGCAAAGTGCAACACAATACAGACTGCGTGATACTTTTGTATAAATACAGACAACCAGGCCAAACTTAAAAAAAGAGTCACTGCCCTCAGGGTGCTTATAGTCTATATTACATAGACTACAGAATATTCTGCTACAGTGGTAGAATACAAATATTACACCAAAGCATAAATAAGCATACTAATTACAAACTGTGTTAAGTACAAGGCAGGAAAATAAAATGATGAAGCAGAGACATAATTTAGATTTTTCTGGCATATGAGAGTAAGTAGTCAGGACTGAACTTTTTGAGTAAGTGAAAAACAAGAGGGAGTCAGTCAGGCTAAAGGAAGGGTGGAGGGTGTGTATCTGTGTGAGGCGGCAATGGTACAGAGGAACAGCTTTCCAGCATAGGAAACAAGAAGTATACAGGCTCCAAGGCTGCAGAAAGCTAAGCTTATCTAAAGAACTAAAAGTAGCCCCCCCCCCCAGGCTACAATAAGCTTTTTTCTCCCAAGCTGTCCCTGAATGGATTTACCTTAATTTACTTAACTATTCCTCTGTGATGCAAAGTCCCTCCTCTTACAGTAATAGGCAGGGAACATCTTTGAACACAAAGCATTTCTACATTTAGGGCCCTGGCCTCAGAATAAAGTTCTGGAGGTAGGATCACTGAGTAAAGTCTTCACGAACATTGAGGGTTCTTAAATGGGTTTCAAAAAGGTGATCCTAAGGTCTACTCCCATCAGCAGAGCCCTCTGTGTCCTAGGGACTCACCAGCACATTGATGATCATGCTGTTCTCCACAGTGACAGCCTTCACAAGGAGCTTTCTGGACCCATCCTTTGACTCATACCGGAGGACATACAGGTCTTTATTGTTGTTCCATTCCGCTGGCAGCAGTTCTGATTTCTTATCATTGGGACCCGGCTGAGAAGACACCAGAGAGAGATGAAAGATCATGACCTCAGATCTAAAAAGGACCTTACAGATAATCTAATCCCACTCTCTCACTTCACTGATGAAGACACAGAGGTCAGGAGAAGTAAAATGTCCAAGGTCCTACAGCAAGTCAGAGGTCTGGGGTCTCTGGACTCCTGCTCTAGTGATCCTCCCTCATATGTGACTGCCTTTGTGACACAGCACTGGAACCTGTCAAGAATCTGTAGCCTTGGTTTAACAATCTCTTCTCTATCCCGCTGTCAAGAATAAGGCCAGTCACCTAAAGGGATACTGTGAAATTCTAAGAGTGTTTCTCGAAGTTTGGTATTCAGGCCATCTGCAAAGGGATCACAAAAGTGTTGACTAAAACTACAGATTCTAATGTACACCTCTCCAGACTACTGTAGTGCCTTAACAAAAATTATGAACAACTTTCATACAAACAAAATATAGCACACGTACAAGATAAAAAAAGAATTATAAAATGGACACCTATGTATCTACAGCCAGCTTAAGAAACAGAACGTGGCCAATCCTGTTCAAGCCTTGAGTAGTCTATCTCCAATGAATCTCCCTCCTCCTTCCTCATGGGTAATCACTAAGCTGTTTTTTAAATTTCTTTACTTTTCCTTATAGTTGTGTTACTATACACAAATTCTAAAAATATATTGTTTCAAATGTTTTTGAATTTTATATAAACAGCATCACTTTTATCTGCCGTTTTCAATCAATATTGTTTTGAGATTCATCCATGTCAAAGCACTTAACTGTAGCTGACTCACTGTACAGCATTCCGTTTTTGCTATATAGTTCACAGCCATATAGCCCGTCATTGCATGAATATGCTGCAAGTTACAAACTCACTTGTTGATGGATATTTGGAGTGCTTCCAGTTTGTTTTGCTATTATAAACAATGCTGCTATGAACATTCTTGTACACATCTCCTAGTACACATTTGGATGAGCTCCTATAGAGTGTCTCTAGGGGAAGAACTTTTAATTTATAAGATAAAGTCAAATTGTTTTCAAAAGAAGTATGGATTTACACTCCCATGAGCAATGTATGTATGAGAGTTCTTGTTCCACGAGGTCAGCAACATTGCTATTGTCCAATTAAAAAATTTTTGCCAACCTAATGGGTGTAAAAATGCATCACTGTGAGTTGTGATGGCCTCATCTCTTTAAAAAAATATCCTAGGACTTTCTTTTTACATACTAAGGTTTGAGAAATAGTTCTGAAACTACCTCGATAGTAAAAACTAATACAATGATTTCCAGGTGGGGAAAGAGGTCTTAAATGAGTCCACAAAAAAAAAGTGCTGTCTTTGACACTGCTCATAATTTAAAGCTCCAGATCAACAACAGATACTACAGACAAAGTTAACAGGCAGTCACGGGCTAGGATGAGCTATGTCCTAGCCTAGCTGGCACAACACGAATTAATAACTAGTACAAAAAGGGAATGCCTGGAAAACGAACAATAAAAATTGGGAACCCACTTGAAAAAGGTATGAACAAGCAAAAGATAAGAGCAGCTAACAGTGTATAAAGGATCATTCAACTTTACTAGCACTCAGACACACATAGGCTAAAATATGAGATACCAGGATCCACCCATCAGACTGCTGTTATCTATTTTTTTGCCAGTGTTTGTGTGGGTGTGGGGAGAATGGCAACCTCCAGGCACTGCTGGTGGCCGTTCACACTCTTACAACCCTTTTGGAGAGCAATCTGGTAATATTCAGTGCAATTAGGTAAGCCGACACCCCGTGACCCAAAACCTTCACTCCTGGAAGAAATTCTGTGCACAGAGGCACAGGGAATATGACAAGGGATCTTCATCACAACCCTGTTGGAGGAACCAAATGGGAGTTAAAATGCAAAATATGTTCACAGTGGAATACTGTATAGCAGTTAGAAGGAACAAACTAGATCTAATTGCAGTATTATAGATAAAAGTAAACAATGTGACAAAAGTTTTTTTAAAATGAGATTTACAGCCAGGTACCATTTATGTAAAAAATTTTAAAACACACAAAAAATCTATATATTGTTTTCATAGAAGCATAGTTCTACAGCTAAACACTCAGCAAGTGGACTGGGAAGATCTGTATTCATGAGACTACGGTGGGAGGGAGTACGACCAAAGATGAAAAACAACAAAAGACAAAGATCCAGCAACACAGACCTCACACCTCACCAAGGACAACGGAAGGCCAAGAATGGAGATCGTGGGCCGCTTTGGTCACCTCTGGGGCTCAGGAATCAAACTGGGAAAGTGGTCCCAAATAAAATTCAAGACATTGCAACTGGCATGGTTTCAAACCTGGCTAAATGACAAGGAAACTCAGGCCTGAAGCAGAGAAATGAGAGTGACAGAAAACAAAAGTGAAACTAATCAGCCTACTCTGCTAAGAGAAAGAGAAACTATCCCCTCACCCTCAACTGGGTAAATTTCCTATAACATGTTTAGTGTCCTGGATTTAGGGTTTACTTTGGAAGCCAAGAATTTGATGACATGCCTTGTCTTTGTTCTATCAAGGGCCTTTGAATTTATATTTATACCCTCCATTACAGCATTCAACCCACCAGAATTTCTTCTTGGAGTATAAGTAATTCAGCCTGCTCACTCTCCCATAACCTCAGGCTTCCAGAACAAGAGAGAATCCTAGGGCCTAGTGAGACTGATACCTCTCACTGCAGTGGAACCAATGTTCCCCAGCTCAAGGGCTGCCCTGATATGGGAAAACAGGTGGGACTGAAAGAGACTGGCCTTGGTGATATCAAGCCAAACATGGCATTCAACTGCCCTCTAGAGCGGGACATCAAATATCAGACCTCCCAAAGAGCTACGATTGGAAAGCAGCCAAAGTACATGGTTGTGCTGTTTTAACTCGTTCGGGTGAAAAAAAATCTAAGGGGGGCTGAAAACTGCCCAAGGTCATGGTAAGTCAAGTGCAGAGCTGGGTTTGGCATTCAGAGCTCCTGACTGCCCACGCTATGGCTGCAGATTTTCCCAGCCAAGTCCCCCAGATGGGCCCCCCAAAAGTAAAGATAGTTGTCCCCTTAGGCAAAATCCTGGGGCTGGAAGCATTCTTTAATGGCCATGAGTTCATTCCAGTGTCCCTGGGCTAAAATGCACCCAAAGAAGATCATTTGGGGCATTCTCTCTCTTTTGTCATAATCTTTAGATTCCTACAACAGAAAACAATATTCTCAAAATTAAGTCTATGGCCATCTCTATTCCCTTGCTACTTAAACCACCTGACACAGCTGTAAAGCTCTTATGAGGAGTGGTGCTGACTTCAAGAAAGAAATCCAAATTCAAATACTGAATTTTTTATTGAAGCTGTACTGCTCTTCTAACCAAGTTTTATGTACACAATTCCCCTGTACCAGAGGACACAAAACCAAAGAGAAAAGCAGACAATTTAGCTTTCTATTTAACTGTCAATATATTAAATGATCAAGTACACAATTTCAGGACCTTCCTCTCTCTCTTATCATCCCCAGAAGGGTGGGGAGAAGGAGGTGGCTGGAGAGGCAACATAAACATCCTCTGAACTTGGCGAATACTACTGGTCTCAGCTGAGACTGCTTGCCCCACACTGGAAAACTAAAACCTCTCTTAAATAAACTAATAGGAAAGATGAGCCTCCAAAAGGTTTCTACTCTGAATGAAAGTAAACTCAGCAGAAGTGAGAGGAGGACAAGTGCAACCTGAACTCCAGTGGCACTTAAGGGGCAGAGAGAAGCAAAAACACACCATGCTCTAGTGCGCAGAACAAATGCCCATCCCCCCCATGGGGGAACATGCTTGATTCAGCACTGGGGTGGACAGATGGACAGTGGGCAATGCCTTCTAAACCACCATCCGCACTCCCCCGGGCCTCCCCTAGGATGTCTGGAGCCAGAATCTTTTTCTGGCTTGCATGAACTCCACATGTGGCATCATAAACAGAGTGGAATTAGATGGACCTTTGGGATTCAGTTAAGTATCTCTTATTTATTTTTTTAGACCAGTATTGAAATGAGATTGTGTTCTTTCTGAAAATTTGGAAGCCTGGAGTACATGGCAAGGGGATGCTGCCAGTTAGGAGGAGGCAATGACCTACATGAGCTGATGTCCCTAAGCTGTTAAAGTGACTCAGACAGAGTTGCTGACAGGATTTGTGAGGGGACGAGTGGTGGGAGCAGACCTGCAGTGCTGAAGGGGAAGGAGAGAAGGGCGTCACACAGGCTCTCTGTAACAAGTTCCCGTTCCTGGGGGGAGAGGTTCTAACAGCGTGTCAGGGCAGCAGTAGCTAGCTGAGAGTAAAATACAGAGAGTGAGGTATATGAGGAGGGGAGAAAGCAGGGCAAACCTGTTAGACCTGAAGGACAGGGCAAGGGGCAGGGAGGGGTGGGGGGGCAGCGCTGAGAGTCGAAAGGGGAGCCCCAAGGTCAGAAACAAGTCTTACCCCCTCTCCAATTCCACTGTCCCCTGCACCATCCTACACATCAGCTTTCTGGGAGAATGTCCCAGGAAAAGGTGAAATGAAATGCCTGGGGCAAGTGAAAGAGCTGCTAAAGATGAGAAAGCTGGAATGAGGCAAGCAAGGAGACATAAGGTTTCATTTGGGGTGATTACATACTGAAAGTGGAAACCTGACACTCATGATTCTGGGCCCCGCCTCTACCTGATCCCAAGGTCTGAAATGTTGAAAGGCAAGGTAAGTGGAAGGAAGCAAAAGGTGAACAGAAAGGCCAGGAACAAAGGCATCTGGGAGGGAGAATGGTGCCTGCTTCCAGGGTGTGTGGGTGGGTGAGTGTGTGTGTGTCTGTGTGTAAGGCTGGTCCTTCTTTTCCCGTGAGCCTGGAGGTGGTGGTGGAGAAGTTTACTGTGTGTATCTGGGGTCCCACTGAGACACTTGAGGTCTGAGGGGGGTGCGGAAAGAGCCAGAAATCCATGACAGTTCTTGTGTTTCTTATTCCTGTTGGTGAGGGTAAAGCATGAGGGGGTGTGATAGTCTTGGTCACGAGTTTTAGGACAGAGAA